GACTTTATCAGGATTCCTAGTATCTTCTAAATCGAAACAAGCACCATTATATCAAAGACTACAAGCTCGTTATCCTGGTCTTTACTAAATGCACGTGTGCAGTTGTGCATGTCAGTTATTACCTCGAATGGTCCGCGTGTATCACTGCATACTTCATCCGGCAATCCATGTTATACTTTGATTTTAAGATGTGTACCTCGCAACACGAAAACAGATATCGTCAAAGTACATATACATTAATATTTTAGAAGATTAGAGTAAACCAAGAAGTAGTCCTGAGCATTATCCAACATCAGCCACTCTCCACTAACAATATCATGTAAAATGCATACATACTTTCTTTTTTTTTTTTTTTTTTTTTTTGCGAAACATTATGATTGGTGCTTTTCCGACATTGCACTCAAGCCATATTGCTTTCTTTAATGTCAATAATCCAAAAAAAGAAACACCGAAAAATTGACTGAAGTACGCTTCCGATTAGAAGAGTTGTCATGGTGATAGATTACTATGCTAACCTTGAAATTGGCGGGACACATTACTAGGATGTCTTTGTCTTGGGTCAATTCTATTCGGACGTATTAACGTGTCGTCCTATGAGATGTATCTAATGTACATGTTTAAACAATTTTATGTTTTATATTGAAATTATTTTCCTGTCTAATAGAAATTTTAAAAAAAGACTTAATAAAAGGAATGAACAAGATGTGTTTGTGAAACACTGATGGTTAAAGTTTCTCAAACGCATGTCAAACTCCAGGTCAAGAGATCCAAAAATGTTGGTACCCAAAGAAAGGTCTTGTTTTGAGGAATATACCTGTGAAATATGAAAGCCCTAGTACAAACCGTTGAAAAAATTATGGCGAAGGTTAAAGTTTTTTCAAAGTAAGTAAAATGGCAACGTCAAGGTCAAATGGTGCCAAAGAGAAGGTCTTGTCACAGGTGATACACATGATCCTGAAATGTGAAAGCCCTAGAACCTAACGTTCAAATGTTATGGCCAAAGTTAATTTTTTTTTATAAGCAGGTCAAACTCCAAGGTCAAGGTCAAAGGGTCAAAATTGTTGGTATCTAAAGGAAGGTCTTGTCACAAGGAATATACATGTGAAGTACGAAAATCCTAATACCAACTGTTCAAAAGTTATGGCCAAGGTTAAAGTTTTTCAAAAGTAAGTCAAACTCCAAGGTCAAGGTCAAAGGGTCAAATTTGTTGGTATCTAAAGTAAGGTCTTGTCACAAGGAATGCATATGTGAAGAATGAAAGCCCTAGCACCAACTTTTCAAAAGTTATGGCCAAGGTTAAAGTTTTTTCAACAGTAGGTCAAACTCCAAGGTCAAAGGGTCAAAAATGTTGGTGTCCAAAGGAAGGTGTTGTCAAATGGAATATACATGTGAAGAATGAAAATCTTAGCATTAACTGTTCAAAAGTGATGGCCAAGGTTAAAGTTTTTCAAAATTAAAGTAGGTCAAACTCCAAGGTCAAGGTCAAAAGGTCAAAGTTGTTGGTATTCTAAGAAAGGTCTTGTCATAAGAAATACACATGTGAAATATGAAGCCCTAGCACCAACTGTTTAAAAGTTATGGTCAAAGTTAAAGTTTTTTCAATAGTAGGCCAAACTCCAAGGTCATAGGGTCAAAGTTGTTGGTGTCCAAAGAAAGGTTTTGTCACAAGAAATACACGTGAAGTTTAAAAGCCCAAGTACCAACTGTTCAAAAGTTATGGCCAAGGTTAAAGTCTCATAAAATTTTGCAAAAGTGGGTCAAACTCCAAGGTCAAGGTCAAAATGTCAAATATAATGGTATCCAAAGAAAGGTCTTGTCACAAGGAATACATATGTGAAATATGAAAGCCATAGCTTCAACCAATGAAAGGTTATGGGCAAGGTTAAAGTTTTTGCAGACAAACAGACAGACAGACAGCTAGACAAACAGACAGACGGACAGGGCAAAAACTATATGCCCCCGAATCTTCGATTACGGGGGCATAAAAAAGTATAATATCTTGCACGTCTCGGGATTTCGAATGTCAGTTTTAACTTAACAAATAATTATTATAATTAGTATAAAGGTCCCTGATGCTCTAATTAACGTTACATTAACATATCAAGATCCATTTCATTTTTAGAGTGACCTTGACCTTTCTTCAAACATATTTTATTGAACAAATCAATAAGGATTGGGCAACAGGCAAAGCCTATGCACACCCTCTCCTTGTATAACAGGTCAAAACAGAGACAATAAATAATAATACTTGTACATGACAATAGACATGCTAATAATAAAAAATAAAGATTCACAATCAATTATTATTGACCTTGACCTTCGGGACATTACCTTGCGTCACTGTCCTGACGCACCTCTGATTTGATGACCTGAACACGATTTCATTATCTAAGTCAACTTATTTAATTTTAATCAATGGTTAGAAAGTTATGGCCGGGTCACGATTTTTTGACAGGTAGACATACAGCCAGACGGACGGACAGACAGACAGACAGACAGCCATGCCAAATTAAATCAAGGGGTCAAAATAATTTGACATTGCCCTGCAGCGTTAAAAACTCCCTTTTATTTTAAGTGTGCATAGATACAGAATTGAAAAATGGGCTTCCTTTATTTGGGTTGGCACCGGGCAGGGGGGTGGGGGTGGGTGGGTTGTGGGTTAGATATAATGTACTTGTTATACTAATAATTAACGAATAATAGAAAGATAGTAAACAGTAGGATTTCATATCTGTATCCTGTATGAGAGGAAATATACATTTCAAGTATAAGATTTTATCAAAGTTTGACATATATTGCTTTATGTACTTGTAAATATAAACTTTTCTGGACTAATTAATAAATATGCTCACCAAAATATGGAGTTTTGTTCGTATTGGACATTAATTGATCAAATCAATTAGAACATGATAATCCAGATATGCTTAAACTGGGGATACTGATTCTCCCTGTACATACAAAAAGAACATATAGACATTTTCTACAATTAACTTGATAATTTGATAATGTTTACGATCTAATACGGTGTTCTTTCAGTGGCACGATTTTTCTCCTGGACCAACGGTGTATACCTATTGAGTACCAAAGTCAATTCTTTAATATCGCAGAATCACATTCCCCTGGGTAACTGAGCATGAATACAGGAAAATGTTGGAAAATGGTTTCCATAGTAACGCTAGTCTCTTGTGAGGAAGTCTTGTACCAGGAGAATGTCGGAATCCTTTGAACTTTCTTTGTGTACTCGTCCTAGATACGGCTGCTGACTGATCAATACATGTGTAATCGTTATTACAAGATTACGACGATGGAATGTTATCCAATTTTATGTCGGTCATCAAAATCAGCAGCAGGAAATTTCCATTTTTTGCTATCTAGGCATTTGTTTTCCTGTTATAGCCCGCCCGCGCGTATTACTGGGGACCTTTGAGCTTGCTGTGGTGAAGAGAAAGAAATATAGCTTTCACATTCCCCTTTCAAACCAGACTTAATCTCTTGTTTGGGGCTATTTCATATTTATCTTAAACTTTCTGAATTACGATCATACATTCAATACATGTATTGACTTTTGGGGGGCGAAAATTATATTGTTGTACAATGGAATAGGATGGGGGTTAAATGGACGTGGTTGTACATTTTTTTAAAATGAATAATGGTTCAAATTTTTACACATCTCTTTTCTAACTCAATCTTTAATACATATATAAGTATAAATAGACGAGTATGTACTACAGGCACTTAAAGCGTGGAAAAATCATCTATTCACCCCCCACCCCCCCCCCCCACCCCAACACCTAACTAATAAAATACATGTATAAGGAGACTTTACTCGAAAATATGTAATTTCTCCGTCAATTCCATCTGTAAATCATTCTGTGCAATTAGTTAGTACTTTTGTTAAGATTTAAAATTTGGCCATACACGATAAGATAAAGGTGTATTTTTATTATACCATACATGGGGGTGAATAGATATACGTTTTCCACGCCATTATGTCTGCAATAAAATTTCTTATAAAATATTCTTTCTCTTCATTTTGGTTTTTGATTCATTTTGGTAGAAACACGTTGACATTCTAATGATCTGCCCAATTAGAAAGCCCGGTGCCTGATATTATGCTGTATGTAGTCGACGTCTTGGTAACGGATTAGGTCAAATTAGCTGGTTTTGGCCATAGGCACTCCCCATCTTAATTGTTAAAAAAAAATATACCTACTATACTATGTTTATAGTATAGTAGGTATATTTTTTTTTAACAATTAAGATGGGGAGTGCCTATGGTTTTGGCGCTATACAGTGTACGTTAGTCGACACTTAGTAAACGATACACATTTAATATATTCCAAATAATACGAGATCTTTATTGTCGATGACTAACTAAGAGACAGTGAGGTGTGATAATTATGTTTATCCCATGTTTACCCTTTTATCCCGTGGATATGACTCGTTGGATAATTTTTTCATATCCCACAGTTAAGTGCAGTTGTGACGTCATAATGGTTTTAGCGTTAGCGTGATGAAGTAAGATAAAGTGGAGTCCTATATAAAACAGTGTAAAACATTGGTTGTGAAGTATTAACACGGGATAAAAAGAATCTCCCATGATTTGTAGTTGGATATGACTTTTATCCAACTCGTTGTGTGTTTTTATCCCCTCGCCAATGCTCGGGGATAAAAAGCACACAACTCGGATAAAAATCATATCCAACTACAAATCATGGGAGATCCTATATACGACTAACTATCCGTTTCCATTTTGTATCCATTATTGATGCCAACACTCAAATTCAGGATGTTTCTCTGATGTATTCAACAATTTTTTGGGGGGCAAATCAATCTGTCTACATAAAACATTTTCAATGATTTTGTAAAGTGTATCACACTGACTCTTATACTTTCCATATCCGTATGTTCCAGCAGTGGTTTCCTCTGGTTTCCATTCATCTCGAAAACCTGATCATACTTCTATAACCTTTAAAATATTCACTAAAAAGAAACACTAGTATTAGTAAGATTTTTATTTGCAGAAAAATAAAACTTGACATTTTATAATTTCACCAAATATAATTTTGGTGGGCCTCTACTGGAGACCTAGATAAAATAAAAAATATCTTTATACTTTTTTGTCGAACGGTTGCATCAATAATCAAAAACTGACATACAATATATTGGTAAATAATAATAAAATACAAAACACTATCTAAACATGGAGCTCTGTACAGTGACACTATAGTCCAAGCTTCAGAATATATTACTCTCAAAATCACAACAAGGTTACAAGGATTTTTTACATAAGTTATTTTGTAGTCTATATAATACTGCAATAATTTGTTCACTACTTAAATACACACTTTGATTCCAATAAAAAGCTAATCCGGAGGGATTATTTGATACATTTACACTGTAATTATTACAAAGGCCCTTAAAAATAAATCATTAAATTTATACTATATATTTGTTACAGAATATAATTTGTCAATAATAAACAAATTTCATTCTTCTAAATACTACAGGAATGGTCTTTGCAATTACATAACCCTGACCTAGGTCCAAACTGACCTTGACCTGAGGTCAATAAAAATAAACCATTCAATGCCATTCTTTTAAATATATAATAAAATATTATCAGCTACTTCAATGGTCATTGTAAAATCTCTTTTGACAACTGGGTAAAATAGAATTTAAAAAACAATCAAGTGGGCCTAAACTGAAAAACAGCATATTGTTAACACTGAAGATGATTACATATGAATAATGGAAATTGCATAATTTATATTTTTCTCTGTACCAATGAAAGGAACATTACGTTTTTGTGTGCGCTCAATAAACAATATAATTCAGATCTCCTGGTATACACAAGTGCATCAATACCATTACATACTTGTATTACGTACAAACATGGATACATTTCTGCATATAAAATAATTTGTAGTAGGTTACTCTCTCTCATAGATATTGATTGGATTGTATATAAAAATAAAAGGCAAGAATCATCTAATTGCAAATCTAAAATGGTGAATATACTTGCTTTTTGACATTATGAATCATATAAATTAAAAAATTGTGAGATACTAAAATGAGCATAAAAAGTTTCCAATGAATGATTATAAAATGATTGACTAGCACTGGGAATAGGTACAAGTAATATCTTTGGTTATTAAGTTTGTCGATTTCTGGCTTGGTTTGAATTTTTTGAAATATATCTGAACTTGTAAGTAGCATTTGAGCATAAGTGTGTGTCATGATCCAGTACCCTGTTTTCCCTAGCCAAATTAAAATTTAAAGTCTTTTTTACCTCTATATATATATATATATATATATATATATATATATATATATATATATATATATATATATATATGGAATCGGTAACAATTTCATTTCTTTCACTCCCCAATTTCTAACCCACAAATTCAAATTTTCCTAGTAGAAGCATTGGACCAGTCTCTATAGTTAGCATCAACAAAATAAACAATCTCTAGGAAACTAACGCTAAACATATAAAGAAATTGCAACAAAGAAAAAAATCTGTAGCAAGTGGGACCATTCTCATAAAAACCCAAAGGCATACAAATGTAACCTTGCATTTTCTCAGCATAAACTTTTATGTTCCAAGCAACACTTTAGCAGTTCCATGGAAATAAAATTGGCAAACTTAAAACAGAGCACCAAATAGGCATATTTGTATAAAATATCAATAACATACATGCAGTTTGATGACTGCACGACAACACAACCTAGAAGTTGGATATGATGTTTACAACAAAATTATTCTATATAGTATACATAACAAAAATCTTGTAACTGATATGGCAGGCAGATCTAAATACATGAAGATGGTTGACTTAGGATTACAGTTTGATTACATTTATTGCACAGCTGGATTCTTGATTATGCTTTGATAATATTCAAGATAAATGCTTTCAATAACTAAAAATGATTTTCTTAGAAGACTAAATAAATCATGATGATGAGATAGTTATTTCTTTTTCCTGTGCAAAAGTGAATTTTTGGCAAACTGATTAAAACCAAGGAGTAAATATGTAGTTTAAACGTGTTGAGAAATGCAGCTTATTTTGTAGACAGAGGGAAAAAAAGCCACATGCTTAGGATACATATACCATAATGGAAGCTGTATAGTCAATATCACATAGAATACAGTCATATATATATAAAAATATATTTCAATGGGAACATATTGTAAATTTATGCACACTAGATACACATGTAGAAAAATACTCCAAGGACTTGGGAGTTTGTGTCCAAGTTTGATCTTGACCAGCAATCATTCTTATATACTCAACAGAAAAGCATAAAATACACAATACATATATAAGATACATTATATATAGTGTTGACATCAATGGACAGCAAATCTCACAAACAACTCAACAACAAAAAAATTCTGGATTGGTGCTGTTGAAAAATAAACTATTTTCTCAAATTTCATTGCATATATATATCAAGAGGAAATAATTCACAGCAAGTTCTGCTTATGTGCATGAAATGAAAATATAAACATTTTATAATTACCATTTTATAAGTTGCAATGAACACATGATATATTATCTAACTCCGTACAAAAATAATGGGGAATTTATCCATGAGAATGTTTAGGGACACACTATTGCATTCATTGGTTCACTCAGAAACAAAGGTGGCAATGTTGACTGGTGTACATTAAATATCCAACTTAATCAAAAAAAAAAGTATAAAAAATTGACAATTGTAAAGCTACATTTCTTGGCTATTTTTTTCCTATATATTCAGGCTCTCTCATAAAACAACCAATACTATAGTTAACAATGAGACAATGGAATATAAAAATAAATTCTTTTGCAAATAAAAAAAATTAAACTACTGTGCTTACTTAATAATAGATATAATAACTAATTAAGGCTAGAAAAATAATAACAGTATTTGAAGCCTGTTGTTCATTTGGTCCACATCACTGCTGGAATCAACATGGCTGACTTTGGCTGCTTTTTGTGAGGTATGCCTAGAATAGCTTTCCAGTCTGCCAAATCAACGTCAGGCGTTCAAAGGAAATAGAGTAAATAGGTGGGTGCCTCACTGAAGGGGGATAAAGTCCATATCTGCATTGCATAGCACTGCCTGTGTTTTTTTTCTCTTTGAAATTTAACCATAAAAGAACCTCACTGACTAAAAAAATCCATGACAACATAATCTCAAATATAACAAACAAAATGGAAATTTGTTAAGGTTCTTCGATAATTTGTTCTTTGGATTTTCTAAAGATGATTGTTTTTGTGTTTCACCAAATTATTATGAAAATATGCGCATTGCCTGAGAAATGGTTTGGCTGCAGACTGGACAGCTCCTCTCGCTGACTGGTTTTTCCACGATCAGATTTGCACATTCCATGCAGAAAAGATTATGCCCACATGGAACAAGAGCAGCCACAATTTCACTATCTGAACACATTAAGCACTGACGGCGTGGGCGACCATTTACCATGGGAACCTGCACAGGAATGGAGACACCTCCTGACGTTTTCACATGGGAGGCTGTGGTAATAGCAGGTGATAAACTGGTGACCAGCCCCATATCCATCACGGAGGTATGCGGAAAATTTGAGCCCTGGGTCCCGTTTAATGATGACTTGAGCAGGCCTGTGTTTCCTGGTATACCTTCCAGGAGGTTAAGTGGTGGAGATGGGGGATTGCTGCTTGAATTCCCATTGGATGAACTGTTGGGCGAATCAGTGATAGAAGGAGACATCTGACGTGGAGTGCTGTTTCCAAGGCTACTTGGGCCCTGATGAGGGTTGCCAGCACTGGTGGTGAAGACGCTTGTTACCAGATTGGAGTTATCCACATCAGACCACATGGAGTGGGAGGGGATAAATGGGTCGAAGGAGGGGGATCCCCCTATTCCCTCGTCGTTGTCAAAACTTCCAAAACAGTTGAAGGTTCCAATCATATTTCCCAAAGTAAAATCATTGATCTTAGGTCCATTGACTGAGGGAAAATTGAAAATATTGGTGTCGCCATTGTGGAGAGCATTTCCATTCTGGACCGTGTGAAAATTATTCAGAGCATTCAGTCCATTATGGGCCTTGCCAAAACCAAACATGTCTGAATTTCCATGCAATTCATGAAAACCTGAGTCTATGCCATTGCTTTGAAAATCATCCTCATTCTGCCCATCAATAACTCCTCCAGTACGGATGGCAATGTGACTCTCTATTTCCATTTTGGCCTTTTCTACATTTTCTGGTAGTCCTGTGACTTCAAAAACAGGTTCCTTGTCACGACTGGGTGTTACAATGTATGTGTGTGTCTGCTGTTGAATCCGTTTGATGGTGGCTCCTTTTGGTCCAACAACGAGTCCCACAACACGATATGGCACACGTACCTGGATTGTCACCTGGCCAGGTGTGCTTGGGCTGGGTGGACCGTTTGGGCCTGCGGTGGTTATAGATGATGAACTTGACACACTGCTGTTTCTGCGTGATGCTCTGATCTGACTGAAGTGTTCAGCTGCTGACAAAATTTCTCGTTTTGCCATGCCTACATCTTCCTTCCGTCCTGTCACGACAAATACTGGCTCCTCCCCTCGGACTGGAGTTTTAATGTATGTGTTGGTCTTGGCTCTAAGGGCTTTGATCTTGCATCCTATGGAGAGAAATACAAAATTAATGTCTACCATGTATGATTCTCTAGTTGATGTTAAGAATGACAAAGATTCACATATTCAGTAAAAAAATCAATAACATACAAAATGTTACTAGATTCCTAACTCTATTATTAGAGTTAGAATGCATTTGACAATAATTGAATATGAAACTGGACAATTTACTCTGGAATGCCAAATAAAATTGATTTAGAACAATAAATAAACAAGCTATTCTGCCTGGTTTGAAAGGTGTATTGGCAGCAAGTATAAACCAGACCTCACACCTGAAGCCCAATAAAACAATGGATACATTGTAACCTGGTAACTTCATCCCTGTGTTAGTCTGCCATTTACCCTGGGAGCTCTGGCTCCAATTACTTTGTGTGCAGAAAATATGTGCCACAAGTCCTTCGTTGTTTACAAGGGATGGGAAAGAACCAGATGTTGGTTACATAACATGCACAAGGCTACAGAGTCTAAGGTGAAAATTCAACTTGTAAATCAAGGGCAACTTTCTTTCATCTGTACTGACTGTGAAATGTGTGTAAAAATGTTTTCTGTCTGTACAGAATAAATTCCAGAGCTTGTTTTAATGCTTAAGCAGAATTCCTTATCTTCACACAGACTTTTGCATCATGTAGCTCTCTTCTATGAAAGTTCAGTCCCCTAATCACAAATCAAATGATTCATCCTATGTCTGCTTGAAATTAAGTCATTTATTCACCCATCTTTACACTGACCTTTTGCCAATCTGTTTCTTGAATAAGTCCCAATATTAACATTCACACAAAAGAGCTCTGAACCTATTGCCTGTTTAAACTAACCTAATTTTGTACTCAGTCACAGCAACACACAGGGAACCTTATCTTATCACAGAGACAGGAAATCCCTTAACATTTTCAAGTTTTTTTTTACAGACACCCTAGAACTGCTAAAATGCTATTTTGAAAACTTTATCTTGTTTATCTAATGATGATAAAAAAAAAGTTTTTGATGAATGAAACCCATTTTTTCCAGCTTAGTCAAAAGTCAAATAATCACATTAAAAAACTGTTCTAATTTTAAAATTGAGTGCATGTGTAACAATTACTGATCTACATACTTCTGAATCTCAATTGTTACAAGAGGTTTCAGGAAATACTTATTGCATGTCCTGCTTCTAGCAGGCTCTTGATCAAGTATATACAAGAGAATATTCTTGACCCTGAGAATTTTACCAGAACAGGAAAACCGGGAGTTGGCCACTTCGAATGAACACAACATCCGAGTAATTAACAAATTGCTGTTCTTATTGACAGATAGTCTCCCCATATAAACTGTATCCTGCCATGAACTTAATGTTTAAATATCTATTCATTATCATCTGCAATGCTACTTCCAATATCATTACTACACCATGACATTCCATTAATGAACTTGTGTAGTTTCATAAATGTTTAATTACAATGACTCAATCATCAGGAGTTACTTGACAAGATTTGAAACTTTAACTTCTAAAATCCGTACTTAGATGACAAAAAAATATGTTGTGCCATTTTTTTTATGTATATGCGAGATTATTTACAACGTTGAAATTTAAAGAAACTTTATTACTTATAAAATGTAATATATAAATATATGTACACATAGGTACTACTGATTGATTTTTCTGTGTCTTTATTCCACTGCTACATTATGTACAATCACTTCTTTTCCTTTCGGATATCGAATTTCAAATCTTATCACCACGTGCTTGCCAATATTTTCTTTGTTCATTGTTATTTCATGCGACATGTCAGCTGCTAAAAATAGCGTTTTTCTCAGCAAAATTTCGAGAAATCTATATTTAACCTTTATTAATCATTATAAATGACAAGTAATTGTGTAAATTTACAGTATATTTAGTACACGTGCAAATGAAATATATCGCGCGGCAATCAGGCGTGACCGATAAACAATGACTTCCTCGTGGTCGCATGTTTAGCCTATACGAATGTATGAAATTCACAACAAACTCACCTTGTCTTCCAACAATTTCAGCTACATGTTCCGAGCTCGGTACGGGTACACATTCCGTCATGTTAGCACTACGTTTCCTCGCTGTTTCAGAGTCCATGGTTGATGATGCGAGATTTGGAACTTCTTCATCACCATTCATCCGCAGAACTGAGAGCTCAAACGCAAGTTGCAGTGCACGATGGTCTTCAGGAATTTGGTTTGCATTCACCTCCGAAAACATATTAGCTGGCATCTTTGTGGACGTCTGGTTGATTATGCCAAGCATGTGGACTGTTTCGTTTCATAAATATTCTTCGTTGTTTTGTGGAATCTTTGTCCGCTACAGTTTAAAGCGCGCACTTTTACCTTTATGACTCGATTCTTCACCGCACAAAGCAATATGTCCCATTGACGTCATTTTCCCCAAGATTCCGCCAAGATCGCCATCTATGCGAATCGCTGATTGGCTAATTTCAATTTATGGGCGGAGTTTCCCGTTTGACCTCACAATACAATAACAAAGCAAGAGCAAGAGCGCGTTAAGACTAACGACGGATTAACAAGGGTGATCAAGATTGCCGAAGTTGATTTCAATGATTCATTCCACTAATATAAATCGATATTTTTTTCAGAATAATGATTTCTTTCAAAAACTGCCCAAATTGACTTTTTTTTGTATTATGAACTACGACTCTATGGATATCTTTATTATTTAAGTAAGAAATTAATAGAAATGTCCGCAAAAAATGCATTGATTTTGAAAGAAATGAAGAATATAGTAACTAGAATATAATAACTAGATAAAGGTGAATAATTGAAAATCTAAACAAATTAAATTGTCTTTTTCATATTATCGATGTTTTACACCGAGAGAGAGGTTAGTTCTCTTGTGTACAAATAAGTATTACTTGAATAATTTATGTGTTTCTACAGCAGATGCAATTTTCTAAGTCCCTTGTCTGCTTTTGAATGAAACATGATGGCAATTGCCTTTCATGGTATAATTAAATTAATATGCATAGGATCATTTTAACAGCTAACAAAAAGCTTTATGTAGCTTTACATTACAAAATTAGACATCCGATATACACACGCAATGCTTGTTCTAGCAAAGAAAAAAGGATTGTGGTTTTATTTATTTACTACATGTACATATAGACACAGAAAGGTAAAAAAAAAAAGTAGTTGTTGGTTACAATTCACAACTTTTCAAAATAAGTAACATCCATATACATGGAGGCAGTGTAAAAAAGTTTGATGTGATATGTGGTGTTCTTATAATTTAACATATCACAAATATGATCTGTCATTTTACATTGAAGCACGAAATGAATAAAAATAATTAATTGTCGAATTCCCGAATTCCTGGATTAAAAGGTGTAAATTGGTTGTAATTATCCAATAGTTTTATATAACAATTAAGACAGACTGAAACCTCTTGGAGGGAAATCGCACCCAACGAAACAGGTGTTACTTATTTAGTCTAGCAAGAAAGAAAATTACCCTTAAATGGCATCATTTTTACCTCGGTAATTGCAAGTACATTTGGCTCCGTAAATACTAGTAATCCGTGAAAAAAAAATAGGTAACGGCCATCGCTGGTACATGAAGAAGTTTCCGAGACTCCCCCCCCCCCCCCCCAAAGTGCCATAACAAACACCTACACCCAGACAATAAAAGATGATAATGAAAGCTAACGTTTATAGAAGTTTCGTGTATTAACTTAATGATAATATATATCACACATGTTTCTTAAGAATGCATTGCCGCCTTTCAAACCAAGTGCACACTGCAAGTAAAATTTAATAGAATTATTATAAAATTTTAATAAAATTAGATATTAAGGAAAAAATTATCAGAATAACGATAAATAAACTTTATAAAAAGTTAATAATTATTTAAGTGCTAATAAAATTTCTTTTTTTTTTTTTTTTAAATTCAACAGTTTTTCGAGGTAACCCCCCCCCCCCCCCCTTTCCGCGATGGATATACTTGGGCGATCAAATAACATGAACACTGGCTACATATTTTTAAGATGTTATTACTTTAAAATTATTTTGAGAGAGAAGGGGGCGGGGTGGGGGTGGGGTCGAATTGAAAAAAATAAAAAAAACTTCCATATTTTGAAGCATTCAAGAAATCCATGCACGAAAACAAGTGGCAACTTATGACGCATTCATTTTCTGTTAACGCGTGGAATAATTCATTAAGAATAATTTAGTGAAGGGAAAACGATGATTTTTTTTTTTTTTTTTTTTTTTTTTTTGGTAAAGGTGTGTTTCTTATCAGATTGAGTTTGCTTCTTTCTTGGAACATTTGTAAATATTTTATCTGTTTTTGAGCGCCATCTCTCACGCTCTCAGCTGCTGGTCGTAAGAACCCTTCTTAAAATAAAGCATCATCACATCATAAAAGATTTTATCGCGGACTTGTTTTTTTATGGCTTGTATCATTCCATGATCGATAAGTTTATATCTTAAATACTTTGTGGAAATTTATTTAATTAGTCTGGAAAAGTTTGTACATTGATCTTAAGAGGTTTAAGGATTCGTCGTTAAAAATCAAGAAATTCAAGAATCATTTGGTAGAACATCATCAAATTCCAAATGACACAACCTGAAAAGGCTGTTTGAAAGTTACGATCAAAAACAAGATATAAGTATCCAAAATTGAAGATATAAACTCCTATGGAGGAAAGGATGGACAAGTAATGTTTCTCTTAGTATCTTTTATTTTTTTCTTTTGCCTTTTATTGTGTGTGTGTGTGTGTGTGCTGGGGAGGGAGGGGATAAAAACCCACTCCAGAACTTCAGTGGCTACAAAATAAAGGATGGATGACATGGCCAACCAATCATAACATGCAAATCAATTCCCAGTCAAACTCAGAGTCCATTTATCGATAACGGAAACAAAAATCAGAGAACAAAATCGAAAATATGAATATATCACTTTCGAATTCGAACTGCCCTCTTGGAATGTCAGTCATTTGTCCAAGCAATTGAACATGTATCCTATGTGCCCTTTCATACCTGAATTTCAAACTTCACATTATTTTTGTTCCTGCAAAATCTCCAATTAATCAAAATAATACTAACTTTGAAGAGAAACTTCGCCAACAGTTCCACAGAAGCAATACTTGGTTTTACGATTCAGAGACTTGTACATGGCAAATGAGAATTCAATGCTTAAAATATTTTTTCTTCTTCTTAGATCTTCTATTTTTTTTTTTATTTAAACAAAATTCTATTGTGTAAGTATCAAAAAGTTTTATACTCGCAACTGAGTTGTTTAAATACTGTATAAAATGTTTCCGATTTATCGATGACTATTATACCAGCCTGTTGACTGGTAAACATAATCATCTTAGAAAGGGCAATAATTATGACAAAACCTCGTCGATAAAGTAATTAACGATGGAATCCTGTAAAAATGAGCTAAAGGATCGAAGCGGTTAAATTTGTGGATCTACATGTTTAATGGCCTTGATTTTAATTTACAGCTCTTGAAATCAATCCACATGCTTTAAAAAAAATCACGGCTGTGATTTTAATTAAGGGATTCTGTATAGTAAGGCTTTAGATTGGAATTTCGTGTTATTGATTAGGAAAATGACAAATTAGTTGCATTCATTCTAAATGACGAGTTAGCGATCCCTGTTTGCTAAGTGAAGCCAGGGGGAATATTTTAATTTAATATCTAGCTAATATCAGACCATAGCGCACATGAGACTGGCGGATGACCGAAGACCCACGTATCGATTCGCAGACATTTGAGATTTCACTTCGAACCCGACACATTTGTTTGTTTATATCACGGGATTTGGGTATTCCCCTCGAAACCGCTTACTCCAGACTTGAACATAATCTGACTAATTACAGACACATCGAGAGATAGATCTATATTATTCTACAGAATTAATATCAAATTGTCATTTATCAATAAACGTAACAAGATTGTATTAAATTATTGTTAATGTATATCACTGTATATAACCCCATAACCCTCCAAAACATAGAGGGAAATTTTGATTATAACTTAATTTATTTACCAATGATCTAACATCATTGAATTTTTCAAATCATTCCTCATTTCCGTTTACTTCATTCAAATTACCATTTCAATTGAGAAGAAACCCTTTTACGTGAGAAATGTTTGTATTCACGGCGAATTTTCAATAGCAACCTCCCTAAACGAGAGTAATTCTTTAATTTATTATTCATTTAATTGCCGATTTGTGTTGTGTGGTGTCGTTCCAAACAGCGGGGTGCAGACTCCCTTTTTGTTCTCTGATGGCACAGATGTGTGATAGAAATTAGCGTTACACCACCAGAGAGCGCTGACACGCCGTGTATTTGGCGGGAATTCGCAGTCCTCTAAGACAGGAAATCCCGCGCGCTGTTCCAGGCGATACTCCCTGCCGAGCCCTCTTCTGTCCACTAATGACGGTGTGTTGTCAGGTGTTAGTGACTTCCTGCTGGTGTATACACATCTATCAAGTGTTTATCTCAGTCATTCCGAAACAGTCGTGTTATCGTCTGTCTGTGTAAATTAGGTAACAATAGGGTGATTACACATGGTGATCTGGACACCATTAAAGTTCAATAAGGAATATATCGCCATCAACACATAAACTCTCAGCGATAGCCGAGGATAATAATATGTTGCTAATCCCTCGATATGTACCATATTCACCTGTTTAAATTTGTACATACATTACACCATGTGGTTAACATGATTAACACAGACACATTTTCAAGTAATAATTTTATTTTGAAATGTTCAATTTCTGACTTTTATTAAACAATTGTGTTTTCACAGGCCTTTTAAATGTACAAATTGCGTGTAATCAATTCCCCTAGTTTAAAAACTTCGAAGAATTAAAATACATGTATGTAACTTAATTAAGGATTTTTTAAATGTAAAACTACTTTTCTAAGAAATAATGCTACAAATAATTGAATTAAGGACATATAACTGAAATCCTTTTCCAAATTCACAACTTAAACAGCTGTTTAATTCTGTGCCAAATTCATGCGTATTTATGTTGTTCTATTGTAGACATGTTGCCATGATGTTGGTAAAGAATAAACGGACCCCCCCCCCCAATTATACACATGTATAAGAAGGCATCTTTTTAAATTGCATTTGAACTGTAATTTAAAGAATCAAAATATGCGCAAGTACGTACATACACAGAAAGGTATCATTTATACTAGTATATTTAATAAATGACAATAACATTTCGACATTTATCTTGACTACACAACGAAACGTCAGAGACGTACTTCAAATGAAATAAGTAAAATGACTAAGAAATGTTATAAATATTCTATTGATATAAGAAATAGGTATTTAAATGCTACTACAGTAAACCGACGGTGGGTTTAATTTTCCTACTGCGTGAACCT